CCCTAAAAGAAAATAGCTTTCAACCCACACTAATCTGCCATGCAAAATTAACTTTGAAAATTTATGGAGAAATAATGACTTTTCATGACCAAAAACACCCTCACAAATCCATGACCATTGCATCAGCACCCCACAACAACCTCAAGGATGTCCTAGACAGAGACAGTGAAGCCGTCTCTGCCATACAGTCAGATGAGACAAAAACATCAAGTAGAATGATCAGCTTAACAAAATGGGAAAATGAAGGAATCAACAACAGAAAAATAGTGGGGTGACAGGGCAGGATTAAATCAATACTTTGAGTAATAATTCTCAGTGTAACTCTCAACTCCCCAATCTGACTGATCAGAAGAATCAAAATTATTCCTCGTATATTATCAGATACACAATGAAGCAGTACTAAGAGGGACATTTATTTTCCTGAATGCCCACATAAAACACAAAGCAAGCCCAAATCAATAACCTAATGATGAAGCTAAGGCTCTAGAATAACAAGAATAGTCCAACTCTAAAGATAGTACAAGGAAATAAATTATAAAGGTAAGTGCAAAATGTTAATAAAATAGAGACAAAAATATTTTTAAAAATCAATGAATAAAACTGGTAGTACTTCAAAAGAACAATCAAAATAGTCAAACCCTTAACCAACCTTACCAAAAGAAGAATAGAAAAAAAACCTCCCTATCAATATAATTAGAAATTTAAAAGGAAAAATATAATTAATATCATAGAAATCCAGAGGATTATTAGTAACTTCATTTAAAACCCATATTCTGCTAAACTGGGGAACCTAGAAGAAATGGATGTGTTCCTCGACATGTATGGGTCACCAAAGTGAAGCAAGGTCATATAGAAACCCTGATCAGACCAGTAACACTCAGTGAAATTGAGGTGGTAATAAAAGTCCTGCCTCTAAGCTAAGCCCAGGCCTCAATAGATTTACTGGTGAATTCTCCAAGAACTTCAGGGAAGACCCAACAGCAGCAGCTCTCAAATTCCACTATAAAACTGAAAGCACTGCCTGACTCGTTCCTGAAAGCTAGCATGACTTTGATTTCAAAACCAAACAAAGATGAAATGAAAAAAATCCCTACAGGTGAGTCTTTTTAATGAACATATGTGTAAAAATCTCCAATAAAATACTCACAGACAGAATACACCGAAACATTAGCAACACACAAAATGAGCAAGTAGATTTTATTGCACGGATGCAAGAATGTTTCAGCACAAAAATCAATAAATGTAATACATCACACAAGCAGAAATAAGGAAGAAATCAGGGTCATCTTTATAGACACAGAAAAGACCTTTAATGAAATCCAGCATCTATTCATGATTAAAAAAAAAACCTGGATAAAATACACATAAAAGGACCTTATCTCAATAGAATAAAAGCTATTTAGGACCAACTTACTGCCCACGTTACATTAAATGAGTAAAGGCTCAAACTTTCTCTCTAAAATCAGGAACAACATAAGATTGTCCACTATCACCACTTTCATTCAATATTTCACTTGAAAACTTAGCCAAAGCAATGTGGCACACAAAAAAAAAGATGAAAAGTATATATACAGGAAAAGGAGAAATCATTTTATCATTATTTGTAGATGCCAAGAAATGTCCCCAAAAGACTCCCTAGAACTAATAACCAAATTTGGCAGTGTACCAGGATAGTAAATCAACATCAGTAGCATTTCTGTACATCAATAATGAACCAGATAAAAAAGAAATTGGGAAAACAATGCGATCCACAGAAGCATCAACAAAAGTTACATACATGGTAATTAACCTAACCAAAGAAATTAAAAAACTCTATCACAAATCTATTGTACTCTGGGCCAGCAAGATAGTTAAGTGGACTAAAGCACCTGCTTAGGCAAATTTAGGCAAGCACAAGGACCACCCAGTAAAAATACTGTTTTGGTGGTTGACAAAGTACAGGTACCAAAAAGCCTTCATTACAAGGATGTTAAAGTGTGGGGGAAAAGGATCAGAGGCAGAAGATGGGGAAGAGGCCAAGAGAGAGCCGGAGGCCAAGAAGAATAAAGTGGAAGCAAAGAAAAGTGAAAAAGAGGCAGGAGAAGGCCCAGTCTTGTATGAGGATACTTCAGATGAAAAAAACCTTGCCCATAGCACTTAGAATGTGGATGGGTTTCTTGCCTGGATTAAGAAGAAAGGCTTAGATTGGGTAAACGGAGAAGCCCTGGATATCCTGTGCCTCCAAGAGACCAAATGTTCAGAGAACAAACGCCCAGCTGAGCTTCAGGAGCTGTCTGGACTATCCCATCAGTACTGGTCAGCACCTTCTGACACAGAAGGAGATAGCAGTGTGGGTCTGCTTTCCCACCAGTGCCCACTTAAAATCTCTTATGGCATTGGTAAGGAGGAACATGACCAGGAAAGCCAGGTGATTGTGGCTGAATTTGATTCTTTCATGCTGGTTACAGCCTATGTACCCAATGCAGGCTAGGGTCTGGTAAGGTTGGAGTACAGGCAGCGCTGGGATGAAGCCTTTTGCAAGTTCTTGAAGGGCTTGGTGTTCCATAAGCCTCTTGTACTACGTGGGGACCTCAATGTGGCTCATGAAGAAACTGACCTTCATAACCCCAAAGGAAACAAAAAGAATGCTTGCTTCACTTCACAGGAGCACCAAGGCTTTGGAGAACTATGGCAGGCTGTGCTACTGGCCGACAGCTTTCTTCACCTGTGCCCTAATGCTGCCTGTGCCAACACCTTTTGGACTTATATGATGAATGCTTGGTCCAAGAATGTAGGCTGGTGCCCTGATTATTTTCTGTTGTCCCATTCCCTTTTACCTGTTTTGTGCAACAGCAAGATCCATTCCAAGGCCCTTGGCAGTGACCACTGTCCCATCACCCTGTACTTAGCGCTGTGACACCTTCTCCAAATCACTGTGAGGCTGCCCTCCCCCCATACAAATACTTCTCCTTTACTAACCCTCTAAAAGTCCACTTTCTCATCTATGAGACTATGAATCCTTTGAACAGGCACCATTGACTGTTTTTTTTTTGTTTTTTGTTTTTTTTTTCCTAAACCTAAGGTTTCTTTTTTCTGTGGATCTTCCTCATAAGTTTCTGGCAACTATCTATGTGTAAATAAAAGGCCATAGTTTTTAAAAAAGAAAGAATATATCTACCCAAATAAAATATTAAATCAAAAAATGAGCAACTAAAATGAAGAGATGTTTTGCAGAAGAAATACAAATAACCAATAAATACATGAAAAAATGTACTGTCCCTGTGGGCATCAAAGAAAGGCAAATTTAAGCAGCTTTGAAATGCCACTGTATTCCAGGAAAAGTGGCTACTATCAAGAAATCAACTCACTGCCAACCACAAATGATGAGCGCCATGCAGTGCACGAGAGAGAAACTCTTCCTCCACTTCTTTCTTGCCACACAAATGGATCCCACTCCTTCTCGTTTTGCTGACTCCATGTCAAGCCTTGATTTACCTGATGGGCATCAGGCACCTGTCAGTCACCAGGCCCACATGTAGAGAAAGGACCTGCACATCTGGCAGGGGATGCACATTGGGTATCAATCCCAGATGCATGCATATCCTCTACTTCCGAGAGCATCATAAGTAAAGAGCTCAGACACAGAGGGTCAGGTGAAAGTTGACATCTCATCTATGACTGTCAGGGTATCATTTCTTATAAATACCATTTGTTTGTAAAGAAAAAAAGAAATCAATTAATAAAAAATACTGACAAGGCTGTGGGTGAAAAGGAACCCTTCTACATTATTGGTGGAAATATAAATTAGTACAATCACTATGATAATCGGTATAGAGATTCCTCAGAAAATAAAAAGTAAAGACTTCACTCAAGCTCTTCCCCTTATAGGTATCTATCTCAAATAGGTAAAGGTGTCATATCACAGTAAATGCTTATAGCAACCCGAATCATGATAGAAAAATCTTGGAAGAAGCCTACATGTCCATCAACAGATGACTGGATAAAGAAAATGTAGTTTTTATTTACACAATGGAACACTACACTGACAAGAAAAGGAAATTACTTGAATAACTGGTAGGAAAATGAATATACATTGAGACCACAGTGCTCAGTGAAATAAATCAGACATTGAAACAAATATCACATTCTTCTCTTATATGAGAAACCCACAATATAAACCCCTTAAAGAGAAAAATAAAGGATAGATGATAGGAATCAGGAAGGTAGATATAATGCAAATAGGAAAGGGACGTAGAACTAAATGAAGGACAGAGGAAGTCAATGAGAGGGGGAGGAAAAACAATTAAAATGTCTTATGTACAAGCTCCAACTGCTCACACTGAATGTAATCACTTTGTACTATGAACATGTACTAATAAAAGTTTTAAAAAATAAATGGCATAGTATCTGCATATAATCTGTGCATATCATCTCATGCTTTAAATCATTTCTAGAAGACATTGAATACATAGGAAGTAAATACTTTGTAAGTACTTATGCAGTATGGAATAATTACAAAGAAAAGAGTCTGTATTAATGGAGATGCAATTTTTTTCCTGGATACCTTTGATTCACTGTTGGTTGAACCTCTGGATTCAGAACCTGCAGATACCCTGGACCAACTGCTTCTGTACTTGCATACCATGTGGCGATGTTTGAGTCTGGTTGTACCTAACTTGGAGATCCTGTGCTCTGTGTCCTCAGATTGAGCCTGTGTGAGAAAGCGCTGGCAGAGTACCTGGACACCAAGAGGCTCGCCTTCCCTCGGTTCTATTTTCTCTCGTCTTCTGATCTGCTAGACATTCTTTCCAACGGCACAGATCCTCAACAGGTAAGAAGGGAAGCACCTGCAAAGCAGTCCAGAGGGAGCGGGGAGCTCCCAGCAGGAGCCTCCTCTCTCAGGCAGGGAGGGGGCCTGTGTTCCAGCCCCATGTTGTTACTGCTAGCCTCAGAGATTTCTTCCTCTCCACTGTTACTCTTGCTTAGGATCCTCCCTGCCCCACAGGGGCTCATTCCCATTACAGAGCTAGAGAAGCCATGAGGATGGTGAAGGTGGATGAAGACAAATCTTTATAGGAATGCTTTTAAATCTGGTTCTTTAAAGGCATCAGCAAATAGCAGATAATAGGATCAGCTATGTAAAAATGTAAAGCACTCTATCATTTGCAATGACAGGGATGAAACTGGTGAACATTATGTTTAATGAAATGATCCAGATTCAGGGAGATAAATATTACATGTTTTCATTTTTAGGCACAAGCCAGAATTGGTCTCAAAGAAGTAGAAAATAGAATAGTGGTGACCAGAGATTGGGGACTGTGAGGTGGTAGAGGTAGGAGAGTGCAGTCAGAGAGCAAGAGTAACTTCTCATGTTCTATAACATGTAGGAGACCTACAGTTGACAGTAATTAGCTGAATCTTTTAAAATAGCAAGTAAAAGATAGACATAAATTATGTATTCAAGGTGATAGATATATATACCAACTACCTGATCTGATCATTGCGTACATGTATTGAAATGTCATACTGAACCCATAAAATGTACAATTATTATATGTCAATATATATTATTAATTTCATTGGTTCCTGGCTTATCTTTCCCATATGTATCTTTATAAAAATAAGTAGATCCAAGTCCAGGTGTGGTGGTGCACCCCTGTAATCCCAGTGCTTGGGAAGCTGAAAACAGGAGGATCACCATGAGTCTGATATGCATAGTGGAGACCCTGTACCAAATATACCAATGAAAAAATAAAAAAGAAAGAAGATCCACATTTACATTGTTCATGTACATTTCTTTTTATCCTATTCATTTTTACACAAAAAGTAGCACACTCTATGTATCTGTTTGGACTTTGGTTTTTTTTCACTTAATTGTATACCCTGGAAATCATTCCACAAAATTGGAAGATATCTCTCTTCATTTCTTAAAATTTGTATGTTTTAAGGACTGACTTACCATAGTATTGCCAGAGATCATTGATATCATTTTCCAATTCCAAATAATGAGGTACTGAATAGCTGTGGATTTTGTATTGTTGAAGGCCTCTCTTCCAGGTAAATTCTCAGAAGTGAGAAAATTGGCTCACAGTGTACATGCATATGTAGCCTTGTTAGATATTGCCAAGACAGACTCTGTAAGAATTCAACCCTTTTGTGTGCTACCAGTGATGGATGAGAGTGTTTCCAACACAGTCAAAAGCCAGCTCCCATTTACATGACTTTACTGTGTTAGGATCAACAAGTTCTGAAGAGGGATTATCCTGTAATAATTGCACTCCTTTTATTTTTTTTCTGATAGATTAAAATTTTTTCCCAAGTAAAGCAGACATGGTAGGATTAAAACAGATACAACATCAGCATTTGTTTTTTATAACTTTTTATCACTACTATGTATAGAAAGAGTCAGATGTTTAAATATTCATTTTGATCTACTTCCCTTTGGGTTTAAATAAATATTTGAATAGTGCCTTTCTGATATCCTAATAGAAGTAGAATGGTAGAACAGTGCCTAATTCTCCTACATCGGTGACTCTATATAATTTCACATGTGAGTGGCTGAATGATCAGCCTTCAAAGTCACAAGAGACAGCAACTTCCTCTCAATCCCTACAAACATTGCTACACTGTTAATTGGTACAAGTCAGCCACTTAGTCTGCCTGCCTTTTAGAAAAATCTTTCTAAGCAGCTTGATTTAGTTCTATCTGGTTCTCTACCAAAACCAACATTTAAATTAAATTTTCAAAAATATGTTCTTTTCTTTTAGGCACTTGCTTTGTATTGCTGATTTCCCTGACAGATAGTGACTTTTTTCCTAATTTTTTTCCCCACTACATTTTGTTGAAGTCAGGATACGTTCTTCATTTGTTTGTAAACCAGAAATTTTGTTATCAAGGAAAAAATTTCTTCTAGTATGTTTTTAATTAGCATTTCCACTCCAATGATCTGGCTTTTTAATTTTTTATTTTATTTAACTAATTAATTTATTTAATATATTTGGTATAGGGTCTCACTATACAGGTAGGACTCATAGTGACCCTCCTGTTCTCCACCTCCCCAGTGCTGGGATTACAGATACACGCCTGGACTCGGTGGTCAGCTCACCAGTGGTCGGCAAACCGTGCCTGGCAGTGGAGCCAGCACAGTACATGGTGCCAGGATCGAACCCTGGTCCCTGTGCATGCCTAAGCAGGTGCTTAGTCAGCTGAGTTATCTCTCCAGCTTTTTTTGTTTTGGATTCATGGTATTTTCACAGACAGATTCTATTTTCTTTGTTCTTTACACATTGCCCATTCTTTAAAAATGCTTTGAACCCCTTAGTCTCCTTTCTTGGCCTTCTTCAGTAGTTTCTCATCTTTATCTACCATATTTAATTTGTATGTCTACTCTACCCTTTGGCTTTGTTAATACTCACATAAACCATTACCATTGTTATTTTTAAATTTCTGTACCAACTCTTCTCACATCTTGCATCTTGTAGAGTTCATATATCTTTCCTTTAAGTGAAAACAAAGCAAGGGTTCATTTTTTGAAGTTATTTTTTTCTCTTATAAGGAATGCTTTAATATATGTTGTCTTATTTTATTTCTCAAGTCCTGTCTTCTCTTATTTGCAGTTTCAGGACATTTTCATAAATCCCATGTTTGTTGTTGTTGTTTTAATCCATTATTTGTTATTGGATAAAGAATGGCCCATCTATCAGGACACTGATCCCCAATCAGTGTCATGCTGTCTCTTCTTTACCATCTTAGGTTTATTCTTCTCACCTCATAAGTATAGAGCTGAGTGTCTTAAATTTTGCATTACATCTCAAGGTACCAGCAGCCTGAAGGTCTTGCATCTATTGAAAATCTCACTGACACAGCTACTTTCTAGTTGCTGATTTTTCTTCAAGCCTCCATCCACCTTCTTCACCTTAGGATTATAGTGTAGAAAGCTTTCTACAATTCTTCCCAGCACTACTGCTGCAGACCTCACTATAAAGGACATCTGCATCACGAGATTCTATGCCTGGTTGGCCAGGCTTTCTGCTTGGTGTGAACATGTTTGTCCTTGCTTTGGGCCTTCCTGGTGTTTTACAGTTGCACTAAAGAGCTTTTGAAAGCCAGGTGTAGTGGCCCACCTGTAATCCCAACACTGTTGGGCCAAAATTCAAGGACTTCATATATTTTTTTTCTTTTTTAAAAATATATTTGATTGTTTCAGGGTCTCACTATGCAGCTTGGTGATCCTCCTGTTTTCAGCCTCCCCAGTGCTGGGATTACAGGTGTGCTGGAGATCGAACCATGGTCCCTGCAATTGACTAAGCAGGTGCTTAGTCTGCTGAGCTGTCTCACCAGATCCAACCTTGTATTTAAGGGTAGCCTAGACAACTTAGTGATTTTGCATGACTTAGTCTCAGAAAACACAGAAAGTTCTGAGGATGCAACTTAGTGAAAAGGCCCTGGGTCTTAACCTCACTATCAAACATAAAAATAAAGAGGTTTCCAAAATATGACTTCTGCAGGCCACAATCACCAATGTCTTTGACCCTCCAGACTCGTATTCTTCTGACGTACTATCATCTGCTTGGCTCCTTTGCACCTTACTGTTCTCTGAGGAACAAAGTGAATGAATTAAACATCACTTTACTCTAATCCAGTCCTATCTATAGCAGATCAAGTACAAATTAATCAAACTACTACAGTTCTATAAGTTTGCAGTTAATGTATTATTCCCATTAGGTAATTTTTATTATTATTCCCATGGCCACTTCCCCCTGATCTTCACATCATCATCATTCCCATAAACTTTGTTATAAATGCGTAATAGTCATTGCTTTGTCACAAGGGTTATTGTAGGATAGACACATAAACAACACTAATAGCAATTTGCTGGACACATTCTCCAATCATGTGGTATGCATTTCTTTCATAGGTACAACATCACCTTTCCAAACTATTTGACAATATGGCCAAGATGCAATTCCAGCTAGATACTTGTGACAACCCAACCAAGATAAGTCTTGGCATGTATAGCAAAGAGGAAGAATATGTGGCCTTCAGTGAACCTTGTGATTGTAA